CTTTCTTCCTTTCTTCCTTTCTTCCTTCCTTTCTTTCTTTCTTTCTTTTTTCTTTCTTTCTTTCTTTCTTTCTTTTTTTTTCTTTCTTTCTTTCTTTCTGGATCTGTTTAGACGCTGCGGTTGGGTGGCACATACTGAATTCGCAAATCCTCTATGAAGAAGGTTTCCTTAGCTAATTCATAGACTAATCTCGAGGGAGTGAATCTTGAAAGCGATAGTAATATTTTCAAAAATGTTGCCTTTACACATTCCTAAAGAAAAACAGTACTCATGAAAACTAGTGAACTGGATGGTACGTCTTGCAACAAAAAGAGGAAAACAGTTTGTGTGTTGTGTTTATTGTTAACAATGGTACAGTGCTTGTAACCAATAGTGGAAATATCTGCCTTCGTTATTTAATGTTATGCAATCAAGACTATAAGTTATAAAATCTAAATGAATTGCTTTCCTTTATTTATTTAGAAACAGGGTTACACAAGCAACAGAAACGGGAAAAATCGTTCTTCTGGATGATGCTGTTTTCAATATTTTATGTTTTAACTATCGCTAAGTGTCACAGAAAGTATCAAGTAATTAATATTTTTTATAATCGCAGACACTGCAGCTTAAAAATACGCCATCTGGGACCTGGGCCCGTCCACATTGCCGGCCTTGGGGGGGGGGGGGCTCGAATGTTACGCCCCTGGATAAGTCTCGAACATTGAGTGAAGGATTAGTTATAGAGTTCCTTTCTCAGTACTTTCGTCCGTTTCCGAAACGGAGGGTGCGCTATGAGCCACAGAACTCTGTTCTGAACTAGCTCACGTGTAATCTTGAACTTTTTCCCCATAGTTCACCATGTCGTTCCTACGGTCCATCCAGGCGAAGGTCCAAGGAGAGTGAAGGTTCCCTCAAAAGAGGTTGTAAAAGTCGAACTCGTAACTGAAGTTTCGATCGAATTCGCCTGACACGTAAGGGCCAGCGCATCCTTCAATCAAAAGTGACTCCCAGGTACGTTGCTTTAGGCGCTTACTTCAGTTTATGAGTTCGCAGTGTGATTTGTTTTGGCGGTTTAAACCGCTTAGTGGTATGTGTCTTCGGCGAGTGTACCAGATTCCCTGAGACTTTTCCGCTAAGAAAGTCAAGTAGTTTTCTTCCGCCCACTTCATCATCGGGTTCATCTGTTTTTGTAGTAGTTTCAGTTTTTGGTCTAGGTTTATTTATCTTGCTAAGATGGCTATGTCGTCATGCATAAAGGAAGAGCCGTATTCGCGGTATATGCCATTGACATACAGCGAGAATAGTAGCGGAGGGAGAATGAAGCCTTGTGGGACCCCGGCCGCTATCCTCCACTTTCAGGATCCCGCTTTTCCGATATTTACCGCGAATGTGTGGTTTCTGGGAAAAGACAACCATTTCGGTTGCGACTTGTGGAAAGTAGCGCTGATGAGTGTGTGGTGTGGCACATTGCCGAAGGCTTGCACCATGTCGAGGTAAATGACAGGTACATCCTGAGTGAGTAACATGTCAGCGGAAATCTGCTGAGCCATACAAAATGCAGGTAAGGAAGCGGAATGGTGCGGTCTGAATTCGTTCTCGAATTAGGTTCCGCGAGAGAACGGTTGGCAACAGTGTTGCATTTGCTCACAATTCCTCTCTGTATAACGCAATTTCGTGGGTGGCAAGAGATGGGTGGGCTCCTCTGGTGCATCGATTTTTGATCGTTCTGCGCAGCACCAGATTACGTCACGAAGCACGTGACCACGGCACGGGCAGTTCGTTTGAAAGCGAGACTAGACGCTGGCCGTCATGTTGAATGGAGAACGAGACGTGTTGAGAAACTTTTTGAAAGTGACTATTTTCAACGGTGACCAACCCAAACTAACACGATGAAGGTGTGATTGAAAAAAGACATGCAATATTTAAAAGAAAGCATATATCCATTTCAATGATTTGTAAGGCAATGTGGATGTCCCGTCGCGCCTCAGTCTTTATTACAATTACTTCTTTGCCTGATTTACGTATTACCTTTCTGTCAAGCTCTCTGTTTATTACAAATTTTAAACTAATAATACTTCCGCCACGAGCGGCGTTGCCACTAGAAAATTTATAATGGGTCGTGAGACTGAAGTTTCTCCCTGTACAAGATTGGGAAAATGATATTTCTCATTATCTATTGGTAATGGTCGGGGAAATTATCTTTGTTTACAACTCAAACGAGAAATAACCATTGTTCAATTTACATTCAGCACCGTATTCAACGGTACCACTTATTTATTTGGCGGCGTCAACCCGCACCGTTGCCACTTTCCTCCGTGACGCTGCCGATAAAACCAATACATACAAAAACAAAAACCCATTCCCCCCTTTTTTACAATAACAAAATATCTAGTTCAACATTCACACTTACTAACAAACTATCTACGCTGTTTACATTCACACCGTGCAAATCATAGTTGTACTGGTCATCTACGTTGTTTCGAGTTTTACAAAAATCTAATACAACACTTGCCTTCCTATAAAATATGTGCCGTACGCGCGGGTAATATCTGCCCTTTAGACGATAGTGTTGCCGTTGGCTTGCCGATCCTTTCCTTCCCACACCATTTTATCAGCTCGCCCTCTATCATCCCTCATTGTCTTCTCTAGTCAGTCTAGTCTTTCGATTGTTTCTTCAACAAAACAAAAACGCTCGCTTCCCTTTGTCACCGAGATCTTTTGGAACATTTTATATTTACTTTTTAGACGTTCTGAAAATTCTGCCTTTTAATTCGCCGCGTTCCCCAAAGTTTATTGCCCTCTGGTTCACCTGCTTTGCCATTTCGGCAACAACTGTCTTCAATTGTCTATCCATGTAAGTATCTTTCTGCCTTTCAAGTTTTCCTTCTAAACTTGTGTGCCCTCTTTTCGAAATGCTTCCAGATGATTCTTAAAATTGTTTATTTTCCTAACACTTGTTTTCTAGTTCGAATGTTCCCCTGTTATTTAACAAGAATATAAAATTCGGTTCTGTATTAAGGATATTTGTTTCTTCTTCTACCAACTTATTTATTAAAACTTTATTTTTCTAAACAAAAATATTTATTTTTGACAATTTATTGGACTGGGGTGTAGGTAATAATTTTTGCATTTAAAATTCCCGCCATTATTGTGACGCAAGCCGATACCTGAAGCTCATTGGCTGACGATGCATACGATGCGCAAGAGCGTAGGGATTGGGAGTGTTGTACGTGTTGTAGACCCCGGTGAATTTGTGGCCGCGTGCAGCAAGACGGTATTATCATTTTCGACGGCGTGCGAGACGTTTTTTAAACCGTGGCATTATCACAGTATACGTATGTATGGTATTATCTGGTAACATCCACGCGAGTAGCTGTAGAAACAGTAATCAAAATAGTGAAGAAACAAAGGTGGCCTGGTGAAGTCAGCTGCTTGAGGTGTCAGGCAGGTCAGAAGGAAACGCAACAATTCCTGTTGCGTGACTTCTGGAATATTGTAAGAATGTGATATGGGAAGTGGAGAATACGCAATGATCATGAAGCTGTCAGAACAGAAGTCGGAGGGAGAAGAAGAGTATTTCCCAAATTTGAAGATTTTGCCTTCGAATGACCAGGTTAAAGAATTGCAGACGATTTTACGTGACAGGTAATATGATTATTTTATTTTATTTTTTTCATAAACGTGGTGCTGATGTATTGCAGGACCGTAAAATTACTAACAAATGCTGTTATATTAGCAAATTTAAGTAGTTCCCATGATGTTAAATGAGCTGTTTGAATTCAAGCACTTGAAATCTCAGCTGCAAAAGTATTAATCCAATTAGTAATATTTTGCTGTCATGATGCAAGTAAACTTGTTATTATGACTTGTACTGAATTGACAATACTTAATATCTCTCTGATAAAATATTTTAAAGACCTTTGTGAATTCAACTAATATTTCTTGATGGACAAGGAACAACAACTTGTAGATTTAGCTATAGGTACATTGTGAATAAGCAGCAAACATGTTTAAAATGTGTTATTAATTAAGGAGCAGGTTAAATTTATGAACATTAGTTATTAGTATGACATACTGTTAATTAATTTATGTTGTATCATTATTGTACACTTCAACTGTAATTAAGAAAGGAATAATTTGGTGATTGAGAAAATAATACTTTTGTATTTTTGTACAAGTATGGTTCAGAATGTTAAAGACTCTCTGCTCAGGTAGATATTGTTCTTTAAACTAAAATTTTAATATCAGTATTGCAAGTATGGTTGTTAAACTTGTGAACTATGCTATTTTTTTAAACATTCTTTTGTTGATGCATTTTTATATGAAACAATTTATGATGCATGGATCGAAAGTTTTATAAACTAGAAATTAAGATATTTTGTCAGTGGATAATTATGGTCAATGTTCTATAGCACTATACTACTGTAGTTAGTCAGTAATTTCCATCAGTTTAAGTCTGTGAGGTAAAATCATTATGCACACTTGAAGTATAAAGAAATTACTCTAGTATCTGCTGAAGCAAGGTTTAGTAATTCTCAGAAATGATTTTCAATAACTAGAAGCATTGAAGACCTAGAAGTAATATTGTGTAATATACAATATTATATAGTTTGCCTTATAAGTATTTGTATGTTGTGTTAATTGGTCTAAAGAATGACTCCTGTCTTTCAAAACATTTTTCCATTTCAATGTTAATTGTGATATATGGAGAACTTTCAGGAAGGGAAGTACTAGCTGCCTTGAGTTAAAAAAGATAATTAAGTACCGGACAAGGCTCTAATATGGCAATTTTTCATTTATCTTTAAATCAATGTGTGAAGTAAAATTACAAAATATTGTAGTTGATTTTGAAGGACCACAAAATCAGTTTTTACTCAGGTTATTGTCAGTGAAATCGTGGGTATCTTTTTCCTGCCAATATAAGATGTTGAAATTCTGTTAAGGGGCTGTCCATAAATTACATGATGCGAAAGAGAATCGGAGGAGGTTTGAGGCAGCATTACACTGTGTTTAATAGTGGTAGGGGGAATTCCATTAACGTTATGTAACATTGAATTTTTTTATACATTTTTAACATTTGTTGAAATACTTACTTTTAGTAAGTATTAAGTAATTGTCATGGGGGAGGGATGTTCAATCGCACGTTACAGGTAAGTTATGGGGGGGGGGGTACTCCAAATCTGTGTTACGTAATTTGTGGATGACCCCTAACTTAATAGTAAATAACCATAATCTCTTAATTTAAATTTTATTTTTCTTATTCGTTACGTTTTCTTCACATATTATTAGATCTTTGTTGGAGATTCCGGTTCATATTATTGAAATGGATAATTTTTTTGTTTCAGAAATACCAGTAGAAGTGATTTTAAGTTTTATGCAGACCGTTTGGTGAGTTTTAGTTATTTTTTTGGATTTTTTGGACAAGAAATGTTTATAGTATTTATAATTCAAAAGGAGTGAATACTCCTAAATTAAGTATAAATATTTTAATTGTTCTTTAGAATCAAAATGGTAGCTAGGTGAAAGAAAGTTGAATGAATAATAAAATTGCCCAATACCATTTGTATACCTGCACAATTACTGGTGAAGCATTTTTTTACCCGAGTAATTTAAGGATTTAAAAGAAAATTAAAATGCTTGTATGTGTATGTAGAGCAATTGCAGTTATTAGTTGATTGTTAAAAATATTTTTTGTAATGTTTGAAATATTGATTGCTGATGAAACTACCGCTACTTGCTTTCATTAACCATTCTAGCAAGAATGATGTTCATTCAAGTGTACAAATTATAGAGTTTTTAACTCCTAAACTTACAATGCTATTTTGTGTTATTTTTATTAAAGTTACTGGTTTTTATTACTGAGATATTTTATAGTTTTTCAGAAATGTTTTTTTCTTCTTTTGGCAGTCAGTGCAAAATGATATTGTAACTTAATACCTGAGAAGAAAATGTGTTATATAATATAGACCAATATTTACTGCAGCTTCAAACTTCTAAATTCCAAGTTGAAGTTCCTTTTTGAACCTAATAATAATCCATCATCTTTAAATGTTTATTTTTGTCCCTTCAAAATAACAAGAGTCTTTAAAAATAAAAACACATTTTTCATTATACTCCTGTTCATTTTTTTACCACTCATAGTAAAGTTGACAGCGGATTTAGTGCAGTAATATAAGTGTTGCAGAGTTAAATAGCACCAATTAAAATTTGAAAATTAAAATTAATTCCATCTAAATTGGGTTTCTTTCTTCAGTTAAAATAATTCACATTCAGTACTTCTCGTATATAGTCAGTTGAAAGGTGAAAAAGCGGATTGAAAGTGTTCATTAACAGAACAGCAGGATGTCTAATTCCCATACATTTACATATTTACATATTATTCCTCAACTCCTGCGGATTTGTTCAATTTATATTATCTAGCAAGTACATTAAAGGCTGATATTGTACATATTTCTAACACAAAAATTATTAAGATTTATTTTCCCTTTGTCTATTCGTAACATATTTATTTTTGCAAGATGATGAAACTACTCAATAATTTACTTACTTTTAAGGTGAGGAAATCCAATTTTTACAATTTCTAAGCTATGCCAAGAGTGTTAGCAAAGTACCGAGAGGTATTAATTCATTAAAAAATAAGAGTAAAAGCTGTCCTTAAAAGAAATTTTTAAAATGTACATTGCTGTATATAATTTTGTACTTTCAAATTTAGAATTATGTTTTTAATTGTAAATTCAAGTTGTAAGTTGGAATGTTATGCTATCTTGTTTCTGCTCCAACATTTTTTAGTTAAGGAAATAGTTTGGGGAAGATAACGGGTAATAGGAAATGACAACTAAATTTGTTTGAAGTAGGGTACACGGTACACCCTTAGAGAAGCGGGGTGGGTAGAGGGAGGAGGGGTCTCCTCTAGCCCTCCCTCAAATTACGCTAAGCGCTCTGACAGAAATGAATTAAACTTACCGATAGGCGACTTTTATGGCGGTTTGACTGACGATTTTATAACCCAATGATAATTCATTTCTAATACATGAATTACACTGAACTTGCTCCCCGCTAACCATGGCCACTTCCGCACCTGAAGAGTGGCCTCTTTCTTGCTACACTTGCACTCGAAACCATCACACAACTTTCGCTTGGCCAGCCTCATAGGTCACTTACACACAGCACACTGAAATTCTGCAGCAATCAAAACGTCCTTCTTGCGCCCATTCAATGACAGCCAAACACCCCCTTTGGCGCAAAAAAAAAAAAAAAAACACTTATTATCACCATCGTAGCACACACACTCGACACTCAGAAACACGAATCGCAAAGAATCTGAAGAACGCTAGAAACTTAACTGCACGACAGCAACGTAGCTAAACACTTCGACAGCTACCAACACAAAATCACGCAGACGCACGATTTACGTCCCACCACACACCATTTCGGAATGAAGTTTCGACAAGATATTAGGGTGAAATTTCCCCCACCCCTAACTTTTGATGTCACGTTCGTGACCAATTACGAACTATTAAAATTATTTCAAAAGCTTTGTTAAATTTTATTTACAATTTATATAAATCGCCCACACCGAAGGCATAAGCGGTTTCGCCGGCGAGGCTGTCGCGCGCGCGGCAGCAGCCTTGCTGGCAAAGCCGCCCATTCTTTTCTTTTTATATGTATGTACTTAGTAACGCATATTGCTCCTCAACCCTCTCCACCGAAAGGTTCCCCTTAATAACGCCCTTTGTCCCCGCCACCGTGGATTCCCCCTCGCCGGAGCGGCGCAAAATTGCCGGTTTAAACGACTTCCTTAAGATGTACCGTATACTAGACTTCAGCCCTAAATTTTGCATGGTATTTGGTGTTAATTAATTTCTTGCTAATGCACTTTGATTACTTTCTACACATTTTGTGACTCCAAATGCAACGCTCTTACCTGACCAAAATAATTCTTCATTTTTCTTCCTGCAGTGGAAAATGCAGTAGGGCAGAAAATGTGCCAAAGTTGTGCAAACTGCACTGAAGGCAGCGTATCTTGTGTATTTACATTTTTAATTGGATTTTTTGTTGTGTAGATCAGGCTGGTCATTGAAGAAAGTTTGAACCAGTTGCCTTTCACAAAATGTGAAGTGATTACCCCAACTGGAGCTCTTTACCAAGGCCTGAAGTATCAGAAAGGGAATTGTGGTGTGAGCATAGTAAGAAGTGGTGAAGCCATGGAACAGGTAACGAACAATTTTTAATCCTTCCAAGAACCAGGTGGGGTGTGTCATGCCCCATGAAATTTAAACTTGTATAATTTTTGAAAAATTGTGCATGGTAACTGCCATTTCGTGTAGGTGGAGTTGTTGTTGCTTAGCTAAACGGTGATGAGACATGTGCTGAAAAAATATTCTGGTATTCCATTCCCTACCTGGTTCAGGGTGTAGTAAAAAGTGGTAAGTAGCAGAATTTGAGTTTCATTTATTATTTTGACTTTTAAGCATTCAATTATTTAATAACCAATTACATGTGATCTAAGATTCAAAAAGAACCATTATTTTTTTAAAGTAACTAAATAAATTTTGTAAGAAATATGAGATTAAATTTGCAAGAATATAGCATTTTGATTTTTTTTTTATAAAGAAAAGAAAATGGTATTTCAATGAATATAATAAAAAATAATGGGACAAAATTAAACTCACATTAAAAAAGAATGAAAAACATAATTTGTATTTCTTGAAAATGCCATGCTAGTTGTTTTTCTTTCACTTTCTTTTCTCTGTTATAAATTTTCCCCTTCAAATTGCTCTGAGAGTCACATTAAAAACTTCAATTCTGGAGCAATCTACTTGAAGTTGACCATGGTCAAAGAGTTCTTCTGAAAGCACCACTGTCTTCAATGTGAAAATAAGGCCATTTATTACATCTTGAAAAGCTTTTTGCAACATTCATTTCATTTCATTTCATTTCATTTCTCTAATCACTATCCACTCTGCCTCTGACAAATGATACCTCTAATGCCTGGTGAAATTGTGTAGGCTGGGTAATATTTCAGTAGAAACAATCAGGTAAAATAAATTATTACATCTTTGAGAGTTATCTTTCTAATAAAGTTTCAATTTGCATAAGAAAACAAATAATGTGTGTGTTAATTGGTTAATTTTGTCCAGAATTAAAATTTTTGTTAATTGAAAAAAAATCATTAATTTATAGTTTTCTCTATTAATAGGGCCTTAGAGACTGCTGTAGGTCTATAAGAATTGGGAAGATATTAGTGGAATCTGATGTGGATACACATGAAGCAAGAGTTGTTTATGCTCGATTCCCAGAGGACATAGCTGATCGGAAAGTGCTCCTAATGTACCCAATTATGAGTTTGTATTTTTTTATAAATCTCGTAAGATTGTGTTGTATTGAGTCAATAGAATATTTATATTTTTGTTCTGATATTTAACTTCATTTTGTAGGCACTGGCAACACAGTAATAAAGGCTGTTGCTGTACTTAAAGAGCATCATGTTCTTGAAGAGAACATTATTTTATCAAATTTATTTTGCACCCCTTTTGCAGCCCAGATGGTTACCACTACATTTCCACAGGTGAAACAAAAAGTTATACGTACTAATGTCAACAATACAGTATTATCTTAAAATGTGTTTCTTGATAATTCAAAAGATAACTTGTAAAGACAACTTGGAAAGATGTGAAAAGCCTTGTAACAAAAAAGTGCTATTTCCCATTTGTAAAATATCTATTGGTGTAAGCCCCAATAGCAAATGAAAAGTGCTTTAATTCTTGTGTAATTTGCCATTACTATGCAGCAGAGAATCTAGTGGTGGTAGAGGATGAATAAGACTTGTCAGGTCTGTTCTACCTTTTGCCCCGACCCTCTTCCCATCTGCTACATATACAGCAGCCTTGAACACCTACTAGGGCCTCTTGCGGAAACTTCCGCTCTTGTGAGTTCCAGTTCACACTCCCCAATTATTGCATAGGCATATCTCAATACTACCTGCCCCTTCCCTGGCAATGAATTGTTGAAGGAAAAAGCCTGTAGTGAACAGTTTTGATAATTTTTGGTTCCTAATAGAACTGAAATAGTACTTTAAGAATATTACAGAAGAGAAGAACGTCATTCTAATTGTTGATTTATAGAAAAAATTGGAGCTGTTTCTTTGAAAATGGTGAGACGAACTTTCTCAGCGTCAGGAAACTTCAAAAACTTTCTATGTTCTATGTACGGTACTCTGTCTATTGGCATTTGAAGGGGGGGGGGGCAACCTTTCATTAAAATCCACACCCTAATTGTAGACACAAGAGGAAAACAGATTTAAAATTCAACAGAAAGAAACCAATGTTCAAAAAATAGAAAAATGCCCTCATGTATATCTCTAATTCTACCAGAAAGTTTTGATATAGCCACTGGCTCAAGTCATCAATGATGAATAATGCTGATATTAATTTAAGATTATTTGTTTAATGTGTAATTGAATTATGTAATGCTGTGTGGATAAAACGGAATTTAACAGAAAACCTCCTATTACAGGTCCCTACGTATAAAATGTGCTTTGGATTTCAAAAATAACTACCTGTTCTGAATCCATATTAAATGTTATTGGCGTAATCCAAATTCTCTAGAATCACGTATCTAAATCTAGCTGATTACCTAGTGGTACTGGAGTATTTGTTTATCACTTGTCTATTATTCAGACCTGCCCACTTGTTCTACCCATCCAGCCTTCATGTATTTGGAGCAATTGTTGAAGTGGTTTGGAAGTTTTCAGGGAACTCTCATATACTAGTACATTTTAATGTTTTAATAAAAAGCACTTCCTTTTGATTCCCCAGAAAGTTGCTCGGCATTTAAAATTGAGCATTCCATAATGTCATTTCATGAAACATGTATTATTAGTCATTTTGCCAGTATAAACTAATAATTAGAAATACATTACTTGAATTTTGTTGTAAATATGTTCTCATGTAACTCTGGTGTTGGTTCCAGATGAAAATATTGACTTCTGAAGTTCATCCTGTAGCACCGAATCTGTTTGGACAGAAGTATTTTGGAACAGATTAAGGTTACCGTTGTTTTTGTTCACTTCTATGTGCTTTACAATTAGACAAAGTATTATTTATGAATTTATGTACTTAAATTGCTTAGTCTAGTGTTTGATTTTGCCACTAAATGAAATGTTTGTAAAATTTGTTTATTTAATAAAAGGTATGTTGATATGTGTGTTTCTATCTGGCCATTTATTAATTTTTAAGACAGTATAGCATGTTCAGGATCTCCTGAAAGGCATGGGGGGAGTTGCTACATTAGAGATTCAAATTATGATTTTTATCCGGAAGCTCTTGTCGAAACTAATGATGTCCTGGGGTTCTTACTTTTAACTTACACTACATTCAAGAGTGCAGTGAGTGTCTTCGGATTTGAAGGACTAAATGGGGAGAATTTTTGGATAAATTTCTCACTAGTTAGCTGCAGCCAAACAACTAGTAGAATTCAGGTGGGTCAAAGATCTCAATGGTATTCACGATTTCAAGACAAGAGGTATCCAGAACAATTTTGAAAACATTCATAGGATTCCAACAATCAACATCAGTTTAGGCCTTTTAACATACAAAATTTGCAGTTTTATCTGGCGTGTAATCATCCAAGTGTATTTTAGAAAATGTATAATTTGCTGTCATTTGTTCCAAAAGATTAGTCTACAACTTCAATAAGTATTTACCAAAACAGTATGTAATAGTTTATGAATGTTTCCATGAACATATTTTGTTTGTTATGGTATACTGTACACATATAAGGGTAATAATACCATTAACCAGAAACTATTTGCAAAGATTCCAACAAATTAATGTCTGGTTCAAATTGCTTAAGTCTCTTAACACTATTGGAAGTATGGTGCTTAATGTGTGTGGAATTTGAATTGACGTTGTTTGTTTGCAAGTTTCTGCCTTGTGAGTCATCTCTACGAAGCACTACAGATATTTCAGAGGGAAGAATACAAGAACACAGATTACAACAAATATTTAATTACAAAATGTATGAATTCAATACATAACACATGATAAATTTAATACAATAAATACAACACACACATAACAATCAAATATATGGAAATATAAAAAATCTTCAACAAATGGCACATCTTGAAAGTAGTGTGGAGACCAGCAATGCCGAGCCCAATCTGACAAGAAGTGCAAATACATTCTCCCGAGTCATGGTGGCTTTCCCATTAGTTTGCAACCTTCAAAGCAACCACAGAGCATCCCAAATTGAATGAGAGATTTTTTTCTGCATTTTAATCATGAATAAAGACATGAAGTGAAATGATTTTGGGAATTTGCAAGAAATTTGTGGTTGCTGAGGATTTCTTGAAAATTAAGGTAATATAAGGAAAGAGAAAGCAAAAACTATTGATGTTTGAATATTAAAGCACTTCTTGTTTAAAGGGTTGGCATTGGACATTTTAAGGGCAGAAACACTGGTCTTAAATCTAAAAAGCCCCTTTCTTGGAAACAAACATGCTCGCAGGCAAATACTAAAATAAAAACAAACAAAATAAGTGAAGTCCAGTTCAACATCTTTGGTCTCAACATTCTACTTCAAGTTTTTGGTGAAATACAAAATCTTGAATACTTTAATGACAATAATTGAACCAGTGAGAATCAAACCACAATAAGTTTTTCAAATTCAGAACCTTTTTATGAACTCTTTTTCAAGTGACTATGCTTCAGTTTTCATGTCAGATTGCCAGAAAACACCAGAGAGATATTCTTGGTTGTTTATTGATTCACATAAGAACATTAAACTAGCAATCTCAAAACTATTAGTGTGGCCTATGATTATCTCTCAATGACCCCTTCAATTGTCAGTGTTATTTTTATTTGATAGAAGCTATAGTTGGTATTCAACTAATTTACATAGAATGTTCTAATTCTTGCATGAAATTTAAAGAATAAATAACAATCCCACAAGAGCATTTAAAAGCTGCAAGTTATTTACACAGGACTTTCTATGAAATACGGTAAACATCATTTCAATATACAACTTTCAATGAGATGGAATAACATGTTGCTGGTGAAAGTAACAAACCAATTTTTCTGCACAGTATCTTTGCAAATGCCATATTTATGTAAGTTGCGGTTATTCACTCTAGCATCTACTGTTTTACTGACATAACATTAATTTCAGTAATATTATGTTATAATGTATTTTATAAAAAGGCACTTTAGATTTACTCATAATTACCTTTTTCAATCGTTCATCATCTAGTGCTTGAGAAAATCAAAAGTTGAATTCATTTTTTCATTACTGACCAAAATTCACAAAGCAAAAAGTTTCAATTAAATTCACTTGCAGCAACAAAAAGTGAAAATCTCCCCCTAGAAATTTTGGATACCGAATACAAAAACACACACTTTTAGCGAAAATAATCTAAATATCATGCAATACAGCATGATTAGCTAGAAGAAACATTTCACCCTATGTCACTAAAGACTTATCGGTTTAAGTTCGCTGAAGGTGTGTCCACCTTAAACTTAAAAGCTGTTGCTGTTCTGATCTTTCACAAGAAATCAGAATTCCTTTCATCCACTGCTGCCAACAACAATCATCATTATTAATATTAATAGTTGACAATCATAATGATCAGTCATGTACAGGATGTTAAGAATCCAACCATATTACAGAACTTGTGTGGGGATGCAGAAGGCAGAGCCTCAACAGATACTATATCATTACAACAGATCCTGCACTTTTTCCCCCACTATGATATGAGATTTGTTAAAGGAAACTCCAGCATTTCAGACTGCAACAATCTTGTCTGTTCCACAAAGCAAATCACATAAAAGAAAATAAAAAGTTCACCTTGACAAATTAATAAATTTTTGAGGATTAAGAAAAAATCCTGAAATGAAAACAATATTTTGTAGATCTCCAACTGCATTTTAATTAGCTAACAGTCAGGAAATCAAGTGATTTCTATTGTGTCTTCTTATACTTAGTAAATTTTAACTCACAAAACTATGCTTTTAAAGTATTTAATAAACAAATAATATTTTTATAGACCAAATTTGTAATTTAGGAGCACCAACTATAAAAACTGAAAGTTATGTTCTGCATTTTATGACAACTTATAAAAAACACACTTATGCCTCCAGAAGAAGTCCTAGTTCCATGAACAATGTTAGCAAGAAGGTAGTTGTTTTATGGTTGCATGACCAACAAAATTGATGTTGACACACCAAGAGTGGTGACACACCAATTAGTGGGACCAGCATACATTCAATATTGCATGAACATTTGACTGTCAAAAACTTTTTTCGCGATGGATCCCACACAATTTGTCAATCGCTAAAAAAAAGTATCGTGTCGATTGGTCGAAAGAAATGCTAAAAAATACGATCGCGGTGCTTCGAAACACGTCTATGATATCATGACAGGTGATGAATCGTGGATTTACGCGTATGAGCCCGGAAGTCAACAGCAGTCGACTGTATGGGTGTTTCAAGATGAGCAAAATCCAACAAAAGTTGTTCGCGCACGAAGCACTTCCAAACAGATGGTCGCCTGGTTTTTCGAAAAAAACTGGACACGTCGTAACCGTACCACTAGAACAACGCAGAACAGTCAATTCTGAGTGGTACACAACGATTTGTTTGCCAGCTGTCTTCCAAAAAATCAGGAAAACCAACCGCCGAAGACGGATTACTCTTCACCACGACAATGCGAGCTTTCACACATCGACTCAAACAACTGCATTTTTGAGCACACAAAACATCGATTTGATGAGTCATCCGCCGTATAGTCCTGACTTGGCACCGAATGACTTTTTTTATTCCCGTACGTAAAGAACGAACTGAGAGGTCAACGTTTTTCGACACCTAAAGAAGCGGTTGCTGCATTCAGAATGCATGTTTTGGAGATACCTCAATCGGTGGCAAAAGTGCTTCGACAATTGGTTCAAACGCATGCAAAAGTGTATAAATCTTCATGGGAAGTATTTTGAAAAACAAAGTGACTTTCGATGATTAATATTTGTTTTTGTTATCTACTCCTGAAATATAAAAGGCAACCCTCGTATGCATGGAGTGTTATTTCTTGATGCGCGGGGCCTTGTCTTTACGATAGAATATCTATCTATCTATCTATCTCATCATATCTAGATGTCGTATGATTGCGACCGTATCGAACAGCTGTGGTGATCATATGAAGGAAATTTATGAAACAATGAAAATACTTCCCCGTAAAATACTCTGATCACTGCTAGAATGTTTGTGGTGACCTAAAGGTAACATAGATAATTCTAGGGAAACAAGGAGGGTACACGAAATGGTATAGTCTGCCCCAATTAGAAGAATGGCGGAAATTCGCGAAATTGTTGGAGATGAAAGAGTCGAGGCCGGTTTCGCAACTCATCAACGCCGTTGCAGAAGACATCACAAGTATAAGTATTCAACAGTCCTTTCTCATTTATTTAGCAATACCTTATTGTATATTGTAAACTAAATTATTTTTTTATCATCAAGAACGAACGAAGCTATTAGGATGGAGCTTTTCAACAGGTTTATGGGAGCGGATGTATTCATGCTGGACATGGAAAATAACGTCGCGGAGGAGGGCAACTTAAGTTTCGCACTCATCGCCGCAGAAGTGTCAGCGATGGCGCCAGCTCATCGTCCATCGAACATGGACGAATATTAAATTAAAGTCGTCGCGACTCAATTTGTCACTAGCATGGAACTGGAAACAAATTCTACAACAGCAGTGAAAATTGGTGATGAAACTGACGTGCCTCGTCGAACATCAACATTGGATTTTACGACCAGAGGTCATAAAGCACACCATCATAATGTCCAACTTGAAAGATACGAGTAATAATATTTCCTCCCAGGTTGAAGCCGCAGTTCAACAGCCAATTAAACACCTTTCAGTCGTTTAAAGGCGTGGCTTCAAAAGGGGGAGAGGGCAAGGGCCGTCGCCAGGCACCACGCAGGCAGAAGCACCCAACAGCGCGGTCAGACCAACACCGTAAGGTTGTCGGAGCATCAGTCAATGATGCCATCACACGTGGCCTAGACACCCAGTTTAGCTTTGAACCACGCGCTCTTGAAGCAGTGGCAAGCCAGGTTGAAACTATCCCTGTGCAAAAAGCTATTAATGTTCACGTGTCACTCAGAGTCGTAGGATTTATCATCTCAATGTTCTACTACCGCATATCCCAGCGACTAACAAA